ATTCCAGTGGCCTTGGTGATGTGTTTTTAGTGACAGCAGCAAAGATTCCAAAATTCTTTCCATGAGCCACACGGAATATGAAGCCACACACATTATTAGCTTTAACACAGAGTGATTTATTGAAACCCAACACTCTATTATTAAAATACTGGATTTTTTCCCCCTTTTTCATCACATAGGTCTCTCTAAATGAATCCATATTCTCATTTCTTTATCTATGTCCCTATCCCTCAGAAAAGCCATCTGCTATTTTCTTTATGAAAAAATAAAACCTACAATTAGTGTCTTGTTCACCATTTCTTTCTCAAAGAGAGAGAGAGAGAGAGAGAGAGAGAGAGAGAGAGAGAACTATTATGCAAATACTCTGCAATTTTGTTTCAAATACTCTTTGTAGTGTAATGAGCAATTTTCCTTAATACAACCCAGCTTTTTTTTTTGCCAGGACTTACTAATAGATTTTTTAAGAGAGAACTTCCAAGTGATTTTTTCATATTCTGCTGATGTAAACTTTTCAAATGCATATTTAGAAAAGAATTAACATTATTCCTTGAGTTGGAAAGAAAAAAACACACACTTATTGTTTATGTATTTCATGCTAAAAAAAAAGATTGAACTAAACTCAAAATCTCTCTTTTATTTATAGTTTTATTATTTTTTTTATCTTAAGAAATGGTCTGTACCAGATAACAGTCTTAGGAAATCAGAGAGATTTTTTTTCTTTTTCTGAAAGCTTATTATAAGTGATAGCAGTTTAGCTGTAAGCACAAATTTGTTGTTTGCCTTTAGTTGCGTCTCAGGAACTAAAGTTGAAGTAAACCCCATTTAGACAGGTCTGGCTAATTCAGGCGTCTGAAGCAAGACAGACATTTACAGTGCGGCGGGCTGATGGAACCAAAGTAAAAATAATTATATTTTCCCTATCATAATAAATAACGCTGCGATATGAATCAGCAAGCTGAAGTCTTAAAACTGATCCTGCTGCTCACTTGGCAGCCAACTTGAGGCAGCAGTCCTCCTACTCACCCTTTGCCTCACTTTACAGGAGAGAATTACTACCTCTTTTGACTGCTTCCTAGGGTTAAAATAAGGATCAAAACACTGTTGCATGTTACTGTTTTTGGACTAGATCACAGGGACACAGATTTAATGGAGGTGTGCTAGAAGTTCTCAGAGTTTCCTGTTTCCACCAGTGGCTTCATCTTGGGAGCTTGTGACAAGGGCAGACTTCCGATCCATGTCTACACCTGACTTTCTGGGAGTGGGGTCAGGAAAGCTACACTTGGAATACACTTAGATGACCCTTACGTACAAGAAAGACTGAGAGCTACCAGGGAAGAAAAGTAGCGAGAATGCAATCAGAATACATTTACGTTAACGAGATAGCTAATATTTAATGGCTAATTAAATATTTAATTCAGTACTTGACTAAGTTAGATATTCATTGGATGGCATGTTTTGCTTATTTGTTGGTATGTGTGCCTATTTCTATGTGTGCATATCCCAGTTCAGCACAGGAGCCCTCTGACTTACACTTTTCATATCAATTGGTGCTGAATGAATCAACTAATCTTAGTACTGGGTTTCATAAGAGGTCATTTAACTTGCCTGTCATCCTTCTCTGTACTCTCCTGTAACCATAGTTGTCTGCTCTACTTCACATGTTTACTGAAATATACTGGAAGTAAAGCTAAAATGCTGATCTAGATGGGGCCATATCAATAGTAATAACTCACGTTTCTGGCTTTAGAGATACTACAGAAACTCCAGTCCCCGGTGAATCTTTCCCAAATAGTTTGGGAAGTTCCTGAGGTCTTATACACACTCATAAACCGGTCCCCCAGTTTCTAGAATCCTTGTCCTTTTTTTTTTTTTTTTTTTTTTTTTTTTTTTTTTTTACCAGTTCTTGCCCCCAGGGGGAGCCGCTGAGAGGTCCTGTTCCTGGTGCTGTGAATGCCAGTGCCCTTGCCAGAGGTCTGGCCTCTCTGGGCTTCCCATTTTCAAGGTGTTGGGTGGGGGTGGCCTCAGCCAGGAAGCCTAGGAGCTGTTGGTCTCCCTGTGTTCTCCCCTGTCCTAAGATTCACCTAGTTCCCGGGGTGTCTCAGGAAAGGGGGATTGGAGGACCTAATGTACATGGAAGCATCTGGGAAATGACTTTCTGCAAAACTGACTCTAAAACAAAGTTCTTTGAGTAAAGCTGATGCCATCCTACCTGCTTATTTCTTCTGTGTGGACCTGAGTCATCCTTTCTTCAGGGATGTGCCCACGCTGTCCCACCCTTACTTCCTCAGAAACTGAAAAATGTTACACCTCACCTAAGACTTTGCTAGATTCAATAAATTTATATATACACTCCATCAGACAGACCCCATAACTGTGAATAGCCTTTAAACTCACCTGAACTCAACACCACTGAAATAGTGGTGGAGGTTAAAAGTGAATAATAGCCTCAGAAATAGCTTGAGATAATAACAGTAAAAGCCAAGTACTTCTTGAAGGCTAACGATGAAAAACAGCAGTCTCTAGCTACCTACCTCGCCCTTCTCCCACCCCATTTTCCATGGACCAAAGCAATCACTTTCAACTTTTTGGCAATTTCTCCTGTAGCTTACCTCCATATATCTAAATAATATGTTTATACTGTCAACTCTTGTTTTTTTCAGTTTTATGCATCATCTAGTAATAACTTTTCACTAAAACAATAGGAATATACATCTGTCCCCTTTCCATCACCACCTTGCTAAAGTGTACCTCCCTGCTCCTCATTTTCCAAGGTAGTCATATGATTGCTTATGTCAGCATTTTGCATTTACGTTATGATTATATAACTATTTCCAGCTGTGTTCTGTAGTAAATACATTTTTTCACATCAAATTATTTTTTTTTACCTGTGCTTAGTTTTCTATATATCTATCACTAAATTTGATTTCCCTTTTGCTAGAAAAGTAGATATGCTTTTAATGTAACATAATATATATATCATATTGTATATAATGTAACTATATATATGTATATAATATATATATAATATATATAATTGATTTCAGAGAGGAAGGGAGAAGAAAAATGATATAGAAACTTCAATTATGAATCATTGATAGGCTTCCTTCCATGCCCACATTGGAGATTGAGCCACAACCCAAGCATGTGCCCTGATCCGGAATTGAACCATGACCTCCTGGTTCATAGGTCTTATGCTCAACCACTTGGCCACACTAGCCAGGCTCTCCCAATGTACTAGCACTTTAATCTCATTAGGTATTCTATCAATTCCATCTTCTAGGATCACCTTTTCAGAGTGACATATTCTACTCCAGACTGAATGCTGTTATCTCATTCTGCTGCACATCCTTTATTCTGAAGTATTCCATCACTGCTATTTCCTTGTTTCCTCAATTTAATGTACTCTTTATTTAATACACACATCTAACAGAGAGACAAAGCACCTGAGATAACAGTTTTTAAGAACAGATGTGTCTGAACATGTCTGTGTATCCACTCACCTTGTTAACATTTTCCTGGGTATGGAATTCAAGGTTTAGACAAAACTCAGAATTCTGAAGCCACAGCTCCGTCTGGAAGAAGGAACTAGAAATTGTTCCCAATTTTCAACATGGGTTAATTTGCATAAGTCTAATATTTTTGTCAGAGTCCTTCTCTTCCTATTGTGCCTAATAGTATAGTTCACAATCCTTTTTGTTAGTCCCTCCTAAGGACGGAGGGAAGAAATAGATCTGTAGTCCAAGTTGTTCCTTAAATATACTTGGACGGAATCCTGCAGAAGTCAGGTGTGCCCTCCTGCTCGGCTTACAGAGGTTTATGGTTGCTAACACTCGTTGAGCCTTTGATGGTGCTAGCCTGTGTATACTTGTGATGTAAATCAGATTTCTTCTCAGTTTCCCCCTTGCCCAGTTAGGCTTCAGATTTCTTATGTTTGCCAAGCCAGTTCCTACTTCTAGTATTCTTTCCTTATTTTTCATCTGTATGATATTTGGTTTCTGGCTTTTTATTAATTCTTTTATTGTTACTAAATTGGAATTGAGAGCAAATGGAAGTGAATGTGTGTACTCAATATGCTATACCATCTTAAAAAGAAGTTCAATATAGCTTTCTGTTCTAGAATTTTGGTTTGAAAAAAATTTAAAGCTACAGAAATTATTCAAGTACAATGAACACACCTTCATATAGGTAAACTGATTATAATAATTGTCATATATGTATCATATCCCTGTGTGTGTAGGGGGGGGAATGTGTGTGTAATGTCATATCTGTTTCAAATTCACATAAAGACATTTTCAATAACTTTTCATTGGAAACTCACTTTAATATGTGCTAAAATCTATATCCATTAAAGAAAAGTAATGTTTTAATAAAAAATAAAAATGTTTCCTATTCAATGAATTTGGAATAGACAATATTTTTAGTTTCAAGTTTTGCTTTCAGATTTTATAATTCTATGAATAAGATGTCGCTTATAATTTTGAAAATAAAATAAATTTGAGTTAAGGCAAACTTAGGAGGAAATGTTTATTAAAATATTTATTCTTTCACATAAATACACAATAGGTATATTGCTTACGAATAATGGGTGACAAGTTTGGATTACCTTATTCTACATGTAAATAACTGTACTTGTATACATTACTGTATTCTAGAACCAAAGACCAAAGGTGAAAAATCCATGGTATAAGGCAGGATTCCATTTCAACATCTTAGACAGTAAACAACAATTAATGCACTCTGTATTAAAAAAGAGAAAATACTGCTATTCATATTCACTTATTCTAAACTATTTTCTACATTGATACATGTGTAATGTTTACTTTTTATTTAATTTTACTTGAATTAAATCACTAAGAATATAGTAGCAACATCATGTCTTTATTTTAATTTGACTTCTTAGTGAGAATGCACTTCAAAATCCTTATCAGCACCATTAGTGCAGTGTAACTATTTGTAAAGAACTTTGAGTTGACACGATGGTGTTACATTTTCTCTTACAGGAAGCTCTGATCATGGCAAGTATGGACCATCCACATTTAGTCCGGTTATTGGGGGTGTGTCTGAGCCCCACCATTCAGCTGGTGACACAGCTTATGCCCCACGGCTGCCTGTTGGATTACGTCCATGAACACAAGGATAACATTGGTTCACAGCTGCTGCTTAACTGGTGTGTCCAGATAGCTAAGGTAGGTGCCCACCCCTTCCTGTGCCAATGGCCTTTCTAGCTTTATATTTCCTGTCCTTGAACTGTTTTGATATTGAAAACATGTCATGTTGTTTTTATCTATTTAAATATATTATGCTTGCAATTAAAAGATATAGTATAGGGAAGTATTTATATTCAAACCACTGGTCAAAGGCATGATATATTTATATATTTTTGGATTGGCATAGTGACCAGGTGACAAAAGAAAGAGCTCACCAGCCAGGGGGAAAATACATATACCTGTGTTTGATAAGGAAAAGGAAAAGGAAACCACGTTCCACCTCACCTACACTGCCAGAGAAATATGTGAATTTCTCAAACAAAACCTAAGTGAGCCTTGTGCCTTGGAATTGCAATTTCAGGTCCTACTGCACAAAAGCCCTTAAACACCCTTTCAAAGAGAGCTCAGACAGAAACACATAGATTTTTTCAATTTATTCTGAAGAGGCAAGCATCAAATACAAATTGATATCTTAATAAAACATTTTGCTGTGCATATAAAAGGAAAGAAAAGCAATATAAAAATGACATGGAAAGGACCCAGGCCAGAAAAGTTTGTTTGTGGAGTGGTGAATCTTTTTTTTATAAAGTGAGAATAGCAACTTGTTAACATTTTTGGTGCATTAAAATGCTCCAGAACATTATCATATTTCATGATTTAAAATAAAAAATGTAAGGTATGAAACTATTATGTGAAGTGAAATTTTTCTTGAAAATCTGAAAAAAAAAATACAACCAAGTCATAGGTTCAGCTGCAGGAGGGCATTAAGAGGGCTTCCTGGTCTCTGGGTCCTCACAGAGATCGGCTTTAAGATATATCCTGTGATGAAGCTATATCCTGCACTTGTTTGGCTTTTTATTTGTTTTGGTGCCATTTAGTGAAAAACAAAACCCAAAGAAGAAGAGATTAAATGTCCTAATTGTCCCTAATTGTCCCAAGTACATACAAAATGTGAAAATTGTAATACTTTCCTAGACATTTTGATAATGCTAATTGGTCTTTAATGGCTGGGGTTTTATTGGTCTGGCACAAGGTTTCAGGTATGTAACATACATGAGCGAAGTGGTCTGGATTTCAGAGCCTGGGCTGATGGGGTAGGTGATTCTGATGACTGAAGAACAACTACTCCCCTGTAGGAGATTGATTTCCCCCCAGTATTCTCAGTTTTCAATTTTTTTATTTTTTTTTATAAAGGTACTATATGTGTACATATCTTTCTATTGCCCTCCCACACCCATATATGAACACACACCCCCGAGTTTTTCGTCCATTGTTTTGCTTATGTGCATGCATACATGTCCTTCAGTTGATCTCTTATCTCCCCCAGATCTCCCTACCCTCCCCGCTGTAATTTGACAGTCTGTTGCTTTACTGTCTCTGTATCTATCTTTTTGTTCATCAGTTTATAATGTTCTTTATTATCCATAAATGAGTGAGGTCATGTGGTGTTTCTCTTTCATTGACTGGCTTATTTCACTCAGCATGATGTCAGTTTTCAATTTTTTAAAGAGGGATTAGAATTAGATGGTTTATGTGACTCCTCCAAATTTAAATCTTGACTCAAACTTTGAACTGCTCTGAGAGCCAGACAGAGCATTCATCTGCAGTCCACCAGTATCCAATTTCTGGTATCCATTTTTTATGTTGAGGAAACCATTTATGGTTATCTATACCAAGGATATTTCTTGAGAAATTTCTCCTTCTAGATATATACCCTTAAGTTGAGTTTTGATTCATTGTTTTAACTCTTACCTCAAAATATGACTGGATTTCCCATATGGCTCAGTGGTTGAGCATCTACCTATGAACTAGGAGGTCATGGTTTGATTCTTGGACAGGACACATGCCCGGGTTGCAGGCTCTATACCCAGCTGGGGGCATGTAGGAGACAGCAATCAATGATTTTTTCTACTTCTCCTTTCCTCTCTGAAATAAAAAATATATTTTAAAATAGACTTGATATTCTATATGCAGTTGTGTAATATAAATATGTAAGTGTTAATTTAGTAGTCTTAGCATGTTTTTTGTGCAATCAAAGAATGAATAGGAATACATATCTCAAAGAAGAAATTTGAGATAATTCTTAAAATGAAAACTAAAAGAATTATTTGAAGGGAAATCCCAGTTTAGTTTTATATACCATAAATCTCAATATATCTTCTTATGGATTATGTATTATCATTTTGTGAATATTGCATGACAAACTCACTACTGGGAGGATTCTTTATGGTAATGAAGTTTCAAATATAACTCTTCAAAAAATGATTTGCTTATCTAAGAATGTCTATAATTCATAAGGTGAGCTAAATATGCAATAAGAATTCTCAAAGCATCCTAGCAGTGTACATGAAAACAAAGCTAAGTTTCAAATTTCTTAGTGCCTCTCTATATTTCCTGCAGTGTTTTTCCATAATTTAGGCTTTGTCCTTAGGGATACATGGCATTAATATATCATTTATGCAAGACTGTATACTCTAATAAAAGGCACTGCTTTGAGTTCCCCGAATAGTCACTGTTTTAAACCATTTTCTTTAGCAAATGCCATCTCTTCTACTTGGAAATCTTTTCTCATAGATTCTCTTTCATTCATCAGCACCGACTGGGCTTTCTCCCCTTATGGTGCCTTCTCTAGTCAACCTCTCTCTTTGAACAGAAGTAATTCTTCCTCTTCTGTATTAGTTGTGGTCATTGGTGTCTTGAACCCATTTTTTATTTAAATGGCATACTGTGTGTTTGCATAACTCCCTGACTGTATGGCAAGTTTACTTAGCCATTAATCCTTCAATCCATCTTTTGTGGATACCCACCATGTGACAGGTTCTATGCCGACTGAAGTGTCTAGGAGTAAACAACATCAGCCTGAGTCTGCTTCTCTCTGTGTACCCTAATAGCATGGACAGACATTGAGCAAACAAAATAATAAAGTATAGGATTAAATACTGTGGTACAGTTTTTGAAGAAAAGTAATTATGGGGGAGACTCCAGGGCAGACCCCAATGAGTCCTAAGGGAAAAAGGCTTTGGCTCTGGGAAGAAATTATAAGGAGAGAAAAAATTACACAAAGCCCTAAAATATATGGTGGCTATGTAAATTATTATCTAAATGTAAGAATGTTAGAAGTGAATGGAGGCTCTGTTACTAGTTACTCCAGGACAATAGGCACACAGATGTCTTACACAGAACCAGGTATGCCTGAAATGTGGTAGGTGGGTAGTTATTGAAGAATTCTACTGTGGAATTGACATAATCCAATTTATGTTCAGAGGAGTTTGTGTATGGAAAATAGATTGAGGCAATATAAGAGTGGAACTGAAGATGCCAGATAGAAGTCTGGGGGTAATGAAAATAATGAGAGATAAATAGAACCAGGATATGTTTTTGAGACGAATTTCAGGCACCGGATTATTTGTTAGCTGTGGGCTCGGAGGGAAAGAAGCAGGGCGATGCTCTTTCTTGAAGAGGAGAAGGCTCAGAGATTAAACTCATTTGCAGGGAACAGATTCCAAAGTTCGGTTCCAGACATGACATTTGAAAAACTGTACAGAACACAAAACTAGAGTTGTCAGTTAGATATTTGAATTTGTCCAGGACTGTAGATGTAGAATTAGGAGTTACAGGCATTGAAATGTGGCTACAATAGGGGATTACCAGCGCTGACTAGGGCTGATTCATTTTTCCTCTCAGCATCTGAAATTGAGTCTTTTATACTAGTATATAGTAGCCATTCAATAAAAATACTTAAGCCATTCAATAAAACAATTTAAAATATACTCTTAAGGAACCTTTCCTTGATCTTTTTTTTTTTCTTTCTACTTTGGGGGCAGAACTGTGTAGTAGAATCAGCATTAAGGTCAGAAGGACCCACCTTAGTATGTCAATGGCCACTTTTAGTTTGGTGAGTTTGGGCAAGTTATTAAGTCTCTTTGAATTGTATTTTTCAATTGGAGTTAATAATTATTATATTTTTTTTCACCTGCAAAATAAGTAGAATAGTGCCTAGACTGAAAATCAACTCCTTATCCCCAAAGATGCTATGTGCTATTCCCAGAATCTAGTAATAATGTTTCTTGACATGTTAAAAGGGACTGCAGAGATGTGATTAAATCAGGATTTAAAGTGGGGAGATTAGTATTCTGGATTCTCCAGGTGGGCCCCGTGTAACCGAGGAAACCTCATACGTACATGGGAGGTAGATGGGCAGAATAAGAAAGAGAAGATATCAAGTTTGAAACAGTTTTGGATGATGAGTTTGAAGAAGAAGGACAGGGCCACAAACTGAAGAATTGATTCTATTTCTAGAAACCACAAAAGGCAGGAAACCAATTCACCCCTAGATCAGACCTTCCGACATGTTGGAAGAAACCCAGGCCTACCAACGTGTTGTTTTCAGTCCAGTGAAACTGAGTTTGCCCTTCTGATGCCCAGGGCTGTAAGGAAATAAATTTGTTTTGTTTCAGGCCACTAAGATTGTGGTTATTATTTACAGCAATAAAAAACAAATATGCTTCCTCATAATCATTTCCAAAGATTAAATACAATAGCCTACTGAAGGTCCCTGGCTCAGCTCCTAGAACACAGGGTTTAAAACCAATCCCCTTTATTAGTTATAGCCTGAAAACCATGACACAGAGAGCTGTTTTGGAAATGCCTGTAAAATATGAGCAGCATAGTCTGAGTACAGATGAGCATTTTATAAATAGCTATTTCAATAACTTAGTGGCTTCTTTTTCTTTGCTTTCATTTCTCACCAAGAGAGACTATGAAAGAAAGAGAAATATCAGCCTATTTACTCCGGATACCCACTTCAGTTTGGGATGCATCCTGTCCCCTCTCCCTCCTTTTTTTTTTTTTTTTTTTTTTTTTTTGGTTGACAAAGTTGGGAGGAAGGGGGATGGTGCTGTGAACTAACCAACTGATATTTGTGTTATAACCTCTCAGTGGAAAGTTTAACAGTTTATGGAAGAAATACAAATTACAGC